CTGGCCCTGCGCTGTTGACATTACGCTGTTGACACTGCGCTGTTGGCCCTGCGCTGTTGACACTGCACTGTTGACACTGCGTTGTTGACACTGCGCTGTTGACGCTGCGCTGTTGACGTTGCGCTGTTGACACTACGCCGTTGACACTGCGCTGTTGACACTGCGCGGTTGGCCCTGCGTTGGAGACACTGCGCTATTGACACTGCGCTGTTGGCTGTGCACTGTTGACACTACGCTGCTGACACTTCGCTGTTGGCACTACGTTGTTAACATTCCGCTGTGGCCACTACGTTGTTGACGCTGCGCTGTTGACGCTGCGCTTTTGACGCGACGCTGTTGACATTACGCTGTTGACACGACGCTGTTGATGCTGCGCTGTTGACTTTGCGCTGTTGACACTGCGCTGTTGACCCTGTGTTGTTGGCCCTGCGATGTTGACACTACGCTGTTGACCCTGCGCTGTTGACACTGCGCTGTTGACCCTGCGCTGTTGACGCCACGCTGGTGACACTGCGCTGTTGGCCCTGCGCTGTTGACACGACGTTGTTGACACTGCGCTGTTGGCACTACGTTGTTGACACTTCGCTGTTGACATTACGTCGTTGACGCGACGCTTTTGACACTTCGCTGTTGACACTGCGCTGCTGACACGGCGCTGTTGACACTGCGCTGTTGACCCTGCGCTGTTGACAATGCGCTGCTGGCCCTGAGCTGTCTACGCTGCGCTGTTGACACTGCGCTGCTGACATTACGCTGTTGGCCCTGCGCTGTTGACACTGCGCTGTTGGCCCTGCGATGTTGACACTGCGCCGTTGACGATGCGCTGTTGGCCCTGCGCTGTTGACACGACGTTGTTCTTACATCGCGGTTGACGCTGCGTTGTTGACACTTCGCCTCTGACACTACGTTGTTGACGCCGCGCTGTTGGCACTACGCTGTTGACACTACGCTGTTGACACTACGTTGTTGACACTGCGCTGTTGATACGACGCTGTTGGCACTGCGATGTTGAGGCGACGCTGTTGAAACTGCGCTGTTGGCCCTGCGCCGTTGACGCTGCGCTGCTGACGCTGCGCTGTTGACGCTGCGCTGTTGACACTCCGTTGTTGACACTGCGCTGTTGACACTGCGCTGTGGACACGGCGCTGTTGACACTGCGCCGTTGACACTGCGTTGTTGATTTTGCGCTGTTTACAGTGCGCTGTGGACACTGTGCTGTTGATACTGCGCTGTTGACACTGCGCTGTGGACACGGCGCCGTTGACACTGCGCTGGTGACCCTGCGCTGTTGACACTGCGCTGTTGACACTGCGCTGGTGACCCTGCGCTGTTGACACTGCGCTGTTGACGCTGCGCTGATGACGCTGCGCTGTTTACACTGCGCTGTTGACACTGCGGTGTTGACGCTGCGCTGTTGACTCTGTGCTGTCGACACTGCGCTGTCGACCTACACTGCGCTGTTGACACTGCGCTGTCGACACTGCGAAGTTGAAACTGCGCTGTTGACGCTGCGCTGTTGACTCTGCGCTGTCGACATTGCGCTGTCGACCTACACTGCGCTGGTGACCCTGCGCTGTTGACACTGCGCTGTTGACACTGCGCTGTTGACCCTGCGCCGTTGACGCTGCGCTGTTGACGCTGCACTGTTGACACTGCGCTATCGACCGACATTGCGCTGTTGACGCTGCGCTGTAGAAGCCGCGCTGTGGACACTGCGCTGTTGACGCTGCGCCGTTGACACTGCACCGTTGATTCAAGTCACTGTTAAGACGCACTTTCAGGAGGAAGTAGAGGAGGAGGAGGAGGAGGGAGAGGAGGACGAGGAGGAGGAGGAAGAGGAGGAGGAAGAGGAGGAGGAAGAAAGGGTGCCAGTGCCGCTGCTCGTCCTGGAGGGCCCTCGTTTCCATGGTTGGGCGTCGGCATCGTGCGAACCGTCCGTGCGATTGTACATAATTCCTTACTTGGAGTGCTCTAGGGTCGACTGGCGTCTGGCGATCGATTGGGTTGCGCCGAGTCAGCGTCGATGAACGTCGATTCAGCGTCGATGAGCGTCGATTGGCGTCGACTAGCGTCCATTCGCAAGAGCCAGCAGGATGGTATGGACGGCTTCCATGAGTTGCCACTGGAAGCGGGGCTCTCCTCGAGGTTCTGGCCAGTGCGTTCCGGGGAGGGTTTGGGGAGTGGCGGTATCTGGCATCTCTTGCTCCCCCCGGAGGCGCTCTGCAGGTGCTGGCGGCGGTCTACCGCGCCGCTCGCGCGCTCTTCCCGTGCAGCTCCCTGGCGGGCGCGGCAGAAGCCTGCGTCATCGTCCGCATCGACGCCCTCAAAGTGCTCGGGCCCCAGGAGATCGCGAAGGCCGCGCAGCTGCACGGGTGGTGCTTGCGGCAGACGTCCGACGTGTGCGCCGAGGTCGTGCGGGGCCTACCGAGCCTGGAGGCCGAGGGGCCCGCGGCACGGGTGGGGCCGATCGAGATGATCGAGATCCACGCGGAAGCCCAGGGAGTCTTCATCTGAAAATGCCAGCACCGGAGGCGCTCCAGGAACACAGGCAGGACAGAGCGAACCTCATCAAGTGAGTTTGGTCTGTGGCTGTGTGGCGCTGGTTGGTAGGCCTGGCTGGTAGTCCAGATAGGCTTCGAATGGGTAAAACCCCCTCGGTCGAACATTTCTGAAATGTCCAACAGCCGTTCGCCGTTCCGGAATCATCGACCCTGTCCATTGTTCCCAGGGACCATGGTTGTCCCGACGGTTGTCCCGATGGTTAACCCCATTGTTGTCCTGGTAGTTGTCCCGATGGTTGTCCCCATGGTTGCGCCGATAGTTTTTACCGATGGTCGCCCCGATGGTTGTCCCGATGGTTGTCCCGATGGGCCGTTTTGGGGCGATCTGGGGCCGTCTTGGGGCTCTCCCGGGCAACGGCAGCCCACGTGCGACAACGACGTCGAACGACGAACGACGGAACAAAAACGACGAACGACAGCAACGACGGCGACGGCGGCGACGACGACGACGACAACGACAACACAACGCCGAAAACGACGAAGGACGCCATTTCGGCGACAACGACGACAACGCCCGTCTCGGAGTTCTGTTGGGGTTCTCTACGGGACGTTCCCAGATAAACTTCGTGGACGAAACGGCGCTTCCCGTTCTTGTCCGATCAGGTTTCCAGGGATTCATGGACCCCTAATCGCTATTCCTTGTGGATGCAGGGCGGGGAACCCAGGGAACCAGGGGAACATTTGAGGAACGGGCAAAGTAAGCCCCCGAGGCACCAACCTTTTACCAAGTAAGAACCCCTTAGGCAACCTACAGGATCCTGCGCGGCCAAAAAATCCCGGGTGCGGCATTTTGCGAGAATGCTGGGCGCACTATTTTGCAAACGCTTCTCCGACGAAATGCCGGACAGCATGTGATCTTAAATGTGGTTCGCGCGCAATGCCACGATATTATGAAAGAATGAAAAAGCGCACTATCGCTTCCCGAATAATTCCACCGCCCGAGAGGCCAGAAACTTAAAATGCCGGAAGGTTTCCGGAACCTTAAAATGCCAGCAGGTTCCGCCCAAAATGCCAGGGTGGCATCAAAACGTTGATCTCGCATTGTATTTTACAAGGGATCCAGCGCCAAAGAGGTCGGAACCTTAAAATGCCCGAAGGTCTCGCCCAAGACGCCGCGGGGGCATCAGCGGATTGACTCTGTATGTTCTTGTTCTATAACAGAAAATCCGGGCGAAGGGCACAACCATATGCAGTTGTGAGTCCCGTCGTTGTGGGTACCGCCTTCGGAGAAACTCCTTGTGAGGCCACTAGGCGTGTGAAGGGAGCGTCGAAATAGGCGGGGCCGCCATGCAGGCGCTGCAACTGGGGTCTTAGGTGGAACCTCCTATGCGGCCACCAAGCGCGCGTGGAGTTCGCTGAAGCGGGGCGGGGCGGGCGCTGTCACTAGGGGCCCCGGGTCGAGCTCCCTGTGGGGCAACGAAGCGTGGCATGCGGGCCCTGGCGCTGGGACTCGCGGTGGAGCTCCCTGTGGGGCCACGAAACGCTGTACTGGGTGGGGGGGACGCATGCGGGCGGCGCCGCTGCGACCTTCCGGGGCAGCGAAACGCTGTGCTGGGCGGGGGAGGCGCACCGCCAGTGGGACCTTCGGTGGAGTCCCCTATGGGGCCACGAAGCATTGTCCTCGGGGGGGGGGGGACGCATGCGAGTTTCGCCGCTCGGACCTTTGGTGGAGCTCCCCACGGGGCCACGAAGCGCTGTACTGAGCGGGGGGGACGCACGCGAGTTCCGTCACTGGGACCTTCGGTGGAGCTCCCTGTGGGGCCACGACGCGCTGTCCTAGGAGGGGGGGGCGCATGCGAGTTCCGCCACTGGGATCTTCGGTGGAGCTCCGTATGTGGCAACGAAACGCCATAGCGGGTGGGGGGGACGCATCTTCCGCCAGTGGGACCTTGGGTGGAGCTCCCTATGGGGGCCACGAAACGCTGGACTGGGCGGCGGGGGCGAAACGCTGTACTGGGTGGGGTGGGCGCTGGCGAGTTCCGCCACTGGCTTGGGTGGGGTTCCCTATGGGGGCCACGAAACGCTGGACTGGGTGTGTGGGGGACGCATGCAAGTTCCGCCACTGGGCCCTTCGATGGAGCTCCCTACCGTATGGAGCCACGAAAGGCTGTATTGGTGGGTGGGACGCATGCGAGTTCCGCCACTGGGACCTTCGGTGGAGCTCCTTACGGGGCCACGAAGCGTTGTATTGAGCGGGGGGGGGGCCCATGCGAGTACCGCCACTGGGACCTTCGGTGGAGCTCCCCATGGGTCCACGAAGTGCCGTACTGGGCGGGGGGGACGCATGCGAGTTCGGCCACTGGGACCTTCGGTTCAGCTCCCCACGGGGCCACGAAGCGCTGTACTGAGTGGGGAGTGGGGGGGGGGCGCATGCTAGTTCCGCCACTGGGATCTTCGGTGGAGCTCCCTGTGGGGCCACGAAGTGCCGTACTGGGCGGGGGGGATGCATGCGAGTTCCGCCACTGGGACCTTCGGTGGAGCTCCCTATGGGGGCTGGAAGCGCCGTGCGGGGCGTGCCGAAACAGAGACATGCGGAGGTTAGAGGCAAAGAGGGGGAGGAGGGAGGAGGAGGAGGAGGAGGGAGGAGGAGGAGGAGGAGGAGGAGGAGGAGGAGGAAGGAGACGCGGGGCGCTGTCTCTTCAAAACAAGGACCCAACACTACAGGATGGCAAGGGGAAGAAGTATCCATCGCCAGGCCAGAAGTTTCAAATACCGAGTTCCGCCCAAGACGCCGCGGCGGCATCAACACATTGACTTTCCATGTGTTTTTTTCAAGGGACCCAGCGCCCTAGAAGCCGAAACGTCAAAATTGCTGGAAGGTTCCTCCCAAAGCGCCGCGGGGGCATCAACATGTTGAGTTTGCACTTGTTTTCCCGAGGGTTCCATCGCCCAAGAAGCCAGACCCTTAAAGTACCGGAAGGTTCCGCCCAGAGCGCCGCGGGTGCATCACAACATGAGTTTTGTATTGTCTTTGCATGAGATCTAGCGTCCAAGAGGCCGGAACAGTAGAATGCTGCAGGGTTCCGCCCATGATGCCGCCAGTGAAACGGTGCGCGTCTCCTACGCTCCTATGTTGTTCCATTTTCAGTCGTAGGGGTCGGAGGAGTACGCAAACAATTCATCGAAATGCTGGGCGCGGCATTTCCCGAAGGCGCATTTCAAAAATGTCAGGCCGCGCGGCAAAAAATGCCAGATGCGGCGTTAAATGCCGATGCGGCAGAAAAGCTCTGGAGGGCATCCTGTAGGAAGCCTGATAGGGGAACCGACCCTTGTCCGTTGTTCAGGGAGTAACTGATCCCTGCCTTTTATTCCGAGGGGGTAATTTCCCAGGGAGTGATCATGCTTCTCCCCCCCTCCTCCGGCGAACGCCAGTTCAATGATCAAGCCCGATTCGCTGTCCCACAATCTCGAACCCCTAGTGGTCATTCTGGAATGATTCAGGTTTTTGGCATGGGACTCCCGTGGGCCACTCTCTTGACTCAGTTTGATGGCATCTACTTCTCGTTCATCCTCCTCCTCTTTCTTTCTTCGTCCTTCTGTAAAGGATTGCGAATTGATTTTCTTCTGTGGCGGACTCCAAATTGATTCCTTTTGTGGCGGATTACAGATGGACTCCTTTGTGCCAGATTACAGTCGATTCCTTTTGTGGCGGATTATAAACTGATTTCTTTTGTGAAGGATTACAATTTGATCCCCTTTTGTGGCGGATTAGAAATTGATTCCTTTGTGGCGGATTACACATTGATTCCTTCTGTGGCAGATTACAAAGGGAATCCTTCCGTGGCGAATTACAAAAGGAACCCTTTTATGGCGGATTACACATTGATTCCTTTTGTGGCGGATTACAAGAGGAATCCTTTTGTGGCAGATTACAAATTGATTCTTTTTGTGGCGGATTACAAAGGAAATCCTTTTGTGGCAGATTACAAAGGGAATCCTTTTGTGGGGATCTTTAGCGGCCTGGACGCGCGAGAGGTTCCCAAGGTCTTTATTTTTTTGAATGTTCATTTTTTTTTTTTTTTTTTTTTTTTTTTAAAAAAAAAAAATAAATAAATCGGAAAACCAGGTTTCGCTTGAGACTGTCTCAAAATTTTATATATCCATGGAGCTTGGCTGATGTAAAATTCAAAGGGAGTCTCAAGCGAAACATTTTTCATTGTTTTTTACATTGATTTCACACAGAAAACACAGTTTCGCTTGAGACTGCTTCTGAATTCTACATCAGCCAAACCCAATGGATTTATAAAATCCCGAGATAGTCTCAAGCGAAACCTTGTTTTCCGATTTATAAAATTTTAAAAGTTTTAGAAATTTCACAAACTGAAAAAAAAAACCTTGGGAACCTCTCGCACGTCCAGGCCGCCAAAGATCCCCACGAAAGGATTCCCTTTGTAATCTGCCACAAAAGGATTCCTTTTGTAATCCGCCACAAAAGGAATCAATGTGTAATCCGCCACAAAAGGATTCCCTTTGTAATTCGCCACAAAAGGATTCCCTTTGTAATCCGCCACAAAAGGGTTCCCTTTGTAATTCGCCACGGAAGGATTCCCTTTGTAATCCGCCACAAAAGAAATCAGTATGTAATCCCACACAAAAGGATTCCTTTTGGAATCCGCCACAAAAGGGGTCAATTTGCAATCCGCCACAAAAGGAATCAATTGGTAACCCGCCACACAATGAATCACTGTGTAATCCGCAACAAAAGGAATCAAGTTGTAATCCGTCACCTAAGGAATAAACTTGTGATCCGCCACAGAAGGCTTCACGTTGTAATCCGCCACAAAAGGAAACATGTTGGCATCCGCCACGAGAGAGAGAGAGAGAGGGATAGAGAGAAGGAGGGAGAAGCATTAAGGAGAGGGAGAGGGAGAAGGAGAGGGAAGCATGAAACCTTCAAAGTGCCGAAACCGCCATACCCATCCAGTCTGGAGCTCCTCAGGCGCCAGGCTGGATGGGCATGGCTGGCTTTCGGTCTTCAAAGGGTTTAAGGGCAATTCTTTGTCCAACTCCGTTTCGCTCTTCCGTTCTCTCCCAATCGTGCGTTCCTTCCTCCTCCTCCTCCCGTGGACTCATTTGACGGAGATGCTTTCTGACGTTCCTATTGCAATCAAATGGACATGCGGACAGGTTAAACTCGTGAGTTATTTTCAGGTGCGACGGCTATTAAGAACACGCGCGTGCAAGTTGTGAACGAGCAGCGATGCCTACATCGCAGATTCCCCCGTCTCCTCCTCCTCCTCCTCCTCATCATCATCATCATCCCCTCATCTTCCTCCTCTCCCTCATCCCTCCTCCTCCTCCTCATCCTCGTTGCCGTCGCCGACGTCGTCCTCCTCCTCGCCCACCCCCCCTTCTCCAACTCCTCGTCGTTCGTTTCTTGTTCCTCGGCCCCACCTCCGCATTTTACCCCGCGCTCGCCTCCTCCCTCCTCTCTCTCTGTTGCGGATTTACAAACTGATTTCTTCGGTGATGGATTTACAATTTGATTCCTTTCGTGGCGGATTTACACATTGATTCCTTTTGTGGCGGATCCGCCACCACCACCGCCGCCACCTCCTCTCCTATTTCCATTTCCCATATTTCGGCGTTCCCTTCCCCCCCTCCCGACATCCCTCCACCACTAACGACCATGAGGGAGGGGCTGGTGGTGGTGGTGTGAGCAAGGAGGGAAGGAATTGCTGTTCTCCCGCCACCAACACCTCGCCCTTTCCCCCCCCACCCCAATTCCCCCTTACCTCCATTCGTCCAGATCGGCCGCCCCCCACCGCGACCACATCTCAATGTCCCCATCCGCTCCCCCCATCGTTCCCTGTCCCCTGCCCCATCCTTCTCGCCGTCTCTCGCGCTCTCGCACGCCTCAAAAAAAGGGAGGGATAGGGACTAGGAGGGAGAGAGGAATGGGGGAAGGGCCGCGGTGCGAAGGGGGGAGGGAGAAAAGGCGGATGGAGGGAATTGGGATGGCATCCGCGAGGGAGGGGGAAGGGGGGCATGAGAGGACCATGCCCCCATTAACACGACTACCTGCAGCTCTCTCGTTATCTCTCTCCCTCTCTCTCTCTCTTTTTTTTTTTTCTCTCTCTCTCTCTCTCTCTCTCTCTCTCTCTCCCTCTCTCCCCTCTCTCTCTCTCTCTGTCTCGCTTTCTCTCCTTCGCCTTCCATACCACCCTCATTGGTTCCCTGCAGCACCACCGCGAGTCCCCCCACGTGCCTCGCATCCTTCCACTAGCTGTTCATGACTCCATACATCGAGGGTGGCGGTGGTTGGAGAGGGAGAGGGGCAGGCGGCGAGGATGGTTTGAGCGGCTGTCATCCCCCCTCCCCGCCTCCCTCCCTCTGCAACGCAGCCACTACCATTTTTTTTTGTTCTCTCTCTCTCTCTGTCTCTCTCTCTCTGTCTCTCTCTCTCTCCTCCCTCTCACCGTTCCTCCCCCCTTCCCTTCATATTTGAGGGCGGTGGCGGCACGGAGGGCGAGGGCGCGGGGTAATGGGGGGAAGTTGAGGGGGGGCGGGAGGTCAATGTAGAGAAGGAGAAGCATGGTGGTGGGAGGGCATCATACCCCTCCCGCCGCCCGCCCATTCTCCCCTCACAAACGCCCTCCACACGCATTTCTTTCATCTCCCATCCCTCCCCCCCTTCCCTCCCTCTCACCCTCTTTTCTCCCTTGCGTGCACATGCATATGTGTATGTGCGTGCGTAGGGATGCCTGGGCTTGCAAGAAGTGTGCGCGTGCGTGCAATTCCGCGTGCATGCTATATATAACTAAATTATATATATATGTGTATATATAAATATACAAATGCATATGTATATATAGTAAAACCAACGCGAAGGGATCGGATGGGGGAGGAGGGGGACGCAGGATGCAAGCGGAGGGAGGAGGGGAACCATGATTATGAGGGAGGGCCATGTGGATCGGGGATGGGGGGGAAGGGAGGAGGCGAGGAGGGATCAGCGATGCCAGAAGAGGACAGGGGGAGGAGGGAGCTGGGGTGGCGGCGGGGAAGGGGGACAGTGGGGTGAAGGAGAAAGAAATAGAGAAAGAGAGAGGGGGGGAGAGAGAGAGAGAGAGGGAGAGAGAAGAGGAAAAGAGAGAGAGAGAGAGATAGTCATTAAAAATGAGCCAAGAGAGTGGCCCACGGGAGTCCCACGGCAGGTTTTTCCCTGCCAGGAAGTAACCGGATTAGGATTCCGCTCAACTTTGCTACTCCACTGTAGCGATTTTTGTTCACACGTCCCACGGAGTAAGCGGACAAGGGTCCGATTCGGCTCTGGGCCCCTTTCGGCTTTGGGCCAGTTTCGGTTTCTGTCCGTTTCGGCCTCAGACCGTTTCGGCTTCGGCGCGTTTCGTCTCGGCTTGTTTCGGCTCCCCCCGCTTCGGCTTTGGCTCGTTTCGGCTTCGGCCCGTTTCGGCTCCGCCCGTTTTGACTTCGACTAGTCT